TCAGGCGACCGTAGAGACTTCACAATGGCAGTGTCATCAGCCTATTTTACACGTTATATTTGCTCGTCAAGGACAAAGTCATTCGTATAGATATTAAGCATCAATGGTGAGTCTTGCATTGCACCCAGATTATTTGCCAAGATGTCAAATTTATTCCGACCGATTCTGAGAAACTGGCAGTGATGGAATAAATAGTTCGCAAACCGTCAGATGAAGGAGAGGTAGACAGCCAGTGCACAGTTTGTCAAACATATTATCACGGGGGGCTGTGTTGAAGACGAATTACAGACAGATCGAAAAACAGTGACCTTGCAACACGCCCGCCTCTACTTAGTTCTTCGCCAATTTCATGTTTTACAGGCGATGGCGTCGTCGATCCGAATCCTGCCTCGAATGCAAAATGCCATGGAAAAACGATGATAGCAATCTTTCCTCTAGACTTGGCAATATCAGATTCTCAAGACATTTCAGGAGAGCTGAGGTAAGAGCAATCGGTCAGAAGACGTCCGAATCTTTGGATGTTGATGGCTTCTAGGGCCTCATGGTGACTTCAGTCATATGACAGGCACTAGAAATCAGCGAACAGCGCAGATAGTGGTTAAATAAAGATTTCAACATACTGCACATTTCGGTTGAGCACAGCGTCAATAGCTGCGGACTAACACCTTCAGGTCCAGGGCCACATTTTACTGAGTTCGCACGAGGTACTTGTTTTGGTAAGCTGCCATTATCATCTGTATCCTGTTGTTGGCATTGTCAATTACCAAAAACATTCGTTTCATTAAAGCTATTGTCCTTCATAATAACGTGGAATGCAATTCCGGAGTAGTCAGCATGACAATTGCGGATTGTTCTGGTTCATTCATTCAAGGTTGTTATTTTCAGGTCTTGACGTAATGAGAATCAAATTTTTTACAGCACCGTAGATCAACCAAGAGTTTTGGAGGCATAGCGGTATGCATATTAAGCGATGGCACACAATCGCAACGTACCAGAGGGATCGACAATTTTTTTTCACCAACGTGGTGTCTGTAAAGCTGTGCATCTTGCACTTTTCTTATAAGACTGCTTATTATAATTCCGTGCTAACTAGACAGCAGAAGCACACACTTGAACACTAATTCGCCAACTGGTCGCTAAAACTCTTTCAAACTTAACCAATGTTCGACTAACTGCACTGTCAGTGTGAAACAGCTCATTAATTTCATTCAAGAATCATTGTGACAAAGCCAATAAATGTAATTGGAATTTAACGTCATTGGAAACAACTGAATTTAGTTGGAAACAACTGGTTTATAAGGCACATATCACTCCTTGATCGTCGATACCAAGAAGTAATTGTTCCATGGTACCTGTACAAGTGCAGTGTACAGGTACATATGTACATCGCAGAATCATTATTGATTACAGCAATAACCTACCCATCCGAATGATATTTCAGCAGCCGGGTCATAATAAATTTTATGCATTATTATTTGTGGAATAAGCGGTGTGCATTTGCAGGTTGGTTCAACGTTTGGAACCATAAAAAGCTGACATACAGAAGATAAGTATATGCAATGAGAAGACACTTTTTGCCAACTAATGAGTCTGGAGAAATCCAGTTTAAGTGTTATCAGGTCAGACGAAAACAAGAACGTTTTATGACATCAGAGTAGCATACCTTACAATTCCTTCAGGTAGTCACAGTCGCTGGAACATGATTTTTAAAAGCTTAAGCGAAGTATTCTTTTCTGTGATCTGTCATATTCGCAAATATAGGATTCTAAGAGCGCGCTGAAAGATTGCAGTAAATCAAATGTGGATTCCAGGCAGCTACATCATATTTAGAAAGTACCTGTAAAGCTGCAGTAAATTTATGTTAAACAATCTTTTTTTTTAATTAAAATCGGCATTTAATCGTTTCTTCATGGAAGCAACTAAAATTTCGTTTCCTAGACAAACCTGAAACTAAGAAACTTTAGGTAGCAGAGTCTCTGTTGTAGACAAAATTCAAGAGCTTGTATAAGCGACTTCCATGGTTTCGAAGTAAAACATCTTTGCTGCCAGTTTCAACAATCTGAAAGTAAAAAAATCATGGACGGCTATTATTAATTGATAAACGTTAGCACATACTCGGCCGTTGGACATGAAGACTATGGTGTTGCAACTAAGAATACTGCTTGGTCGGTGGGCGATGATGATGACCGTCGAATTCTGAAACTGCTTCTCAACGCACATGTGAATCAGACGACAAGTTTCAGAATCCAGACTAGCCGTAGCCTCGTCCAAAAGAAATATCTTCACATCACGCAATAACGCGCGAGCCATGCATAGTAACTGCCGTTGTCCGGCGGACAGGCTGACTCCGCTTTCTGACAGCATGGTGTCGAGTCCGGCATTCCATGTGAGCACCTATAGAAGAGAAAGGAAATTCTGCATAGCAAAAGAAGATAGAAGTGTACCAGCGGCTTTAAGTACGTGTGTTCCAACACCGTCCACAGAGCATCGTCGCTGCTTATGCCGGCTGGATCAAGGTTAAAGCGAAGGGAGGCAGAAAAAAGAACCGGGTCCTGTGGTACAATAGCGAAATTTTTACGCAAGTCGTGCAGACCGATGTGGCCAATGTCACAACCATCAACGAATATATGACCTGATGTCAGTGGATATAAGCGAAACAGAGCTGCAGCTAAGGTCGATTTGCCTGAAAATGCGGTTATAAAATATAAAGCATTCAGAAATCAAGCGGCACATGTTTGCATGCAGCATAAACACGTATTATCAACTATACGTAAGAAGATAAAATACTCCGTTTTGTCAGCTTCTTTTCTCCAGTTGAGTATAATTATTCCGGCCGCATCATGCATTAGTCTCTGCCAGGCGAGGGACACATGTATGACTTTTAGCCGTTTCTCTCAGTTCGTTTCTAATCTGCACCCATATCCTATTCATTTCTGAATCATATCAGGCTCTGTTATGCGACATGCCATCGTCATGGATGCGCCATGAACTGAAGTCAACGTTCTCCAGCATTTTCTATTTTTTGCCTTCTACCTCTACAGCTGATCAAGTAATTGGACCATCAGATCATCCCAGCATTTTTGTTTGAGCGACTCAACGTTGCTGGTACAGCAGAATCCCGATTGTACTTGTTGATGTCCAACGGCTCCCTCTTAGGCTAACCATATGGCCAGTCCATTATTTCTTGACGAAGTATAAGGCAGAAATCACGCCTGTTATTTGTTGAACGCGGATTAGTAAAGTATCGTATCTCGTTATTTCTTTCAAATTATTTTTTTGGTTAGCGCAGAAGTTTTTACCCAACACTGCTTTTCAGTTCGACTTCACAAGTTAGTAGTTGAGGGCGACCAACAACCAAAACGCTGAATACCACGATAGCATAAATTGCTGTAAAGTGTGCTTAGATGGCGAGAATTGCCAAAAATCCGGAAGATAAGCGAACAAAGTTTTGGTACAGACTTGAGGACGCTAGCGCCAATTCTTGCTAGCATCGACTCCATTTTTTCTGATCTGACGTACTAGCATCTCCAGACACACACGCCTCAAGATTCAGATAACGGTTGACAAAAAAGTATCCTAAACCGCTGACAGAAAAAGGAAGGAAATCATCTATACGATTTCTACTCTCCATCAGAAAGATCTGGGAAGTAATCGACCCTCATTCATGAGGTTTGATAAACTATAAGGCTATTTCTAAGCAGTTTAATCGACTTTCAGCATACTTTATCAAAAGTAAATTCTATACTAGCTGAACAATTCCATATTTGCTAGAAGAAACAATCAAAACACTCTTAGCAGTGCCGTTGTTGAAATAACCCAGAAGCATGACGGCGCCGATCGGCAAAGAATGAGCACAAGCTGCTAAAATGCAACAGACTAAGGCAACCGCCATAAACGGTCCGACTTATACGATTCGACAAACAGAACTTCCCTTAAACAATATAATTCATCGAATTCCTAGCGTGAGAATCATTTGTTGCCCGTGGACAAGCTGGACTAATGTCCGTTTCAGAGAATCCCGTACAGAAAATAACTTGCCGGCTTCGTTTTTAGTATAAACAATTTGAATCTGAACTAAACTTACTGCATAAGTAACACTGTATGTGTCTTAACTGCTAACCATACGTAAGAAAAACCTGACCCCGCACAAACTCAGGCAATTCATTATGTTGTTAATATTGGCAACGATTAGGATGTGGAATTATGAGCTACTACGAAACCAATTCTCTCCATTCAGTATGGAGGCCACGAAAGCGGATCGATTCTGAACGAAAGAACAGACCAACACTCATCATGAAAGCCTGTGGCAATGTGCTTCTCCTGATCTCCTCATTGGCAAGGGTCAAGTGTCTAAGTTGTACAATAAATTCCCCTTTCATACCGAACAGGTCAATCTGAGTCTCATCGAAAGGATCCGGAAACCAGAAAAGTGTGCGATCACATGACAGTGTAGTTTCAATGTATAATGGATGATATTCTCATACTCTTCCACGAAAGCAAAGAGGGGCTGATACAAACCTCGAAACAATCAATCTAGGAGGCATTAGCTAAGCCGCATCCGGTGAATCACCGACTCAGCAGGTCTTCGGCGATCATGGTACCTGCAAGGTAGGCGTTTTTTAAACCACCAAATAGCTGCATCAAACGCGATGCAGTGGGATCTGATAAAGCTTTCTATGGCTTTACTGACTAGAGTAGAAACATATACTGCCAGGATTTCGCAGGCACAAGAACATATGTAGTAGGTTATATGTACCTGAACCGGTTCTGCCAACAATACCGATTTTTTCTTTCGAAGGGATAAACAAGGAAATGTCTTTCAATGCAGCGATTTTGTTGTCACGATAGTTGAGCCTAAACACCGTTAACACATAACGGGACTAAAAGCCGCCAAAGTCATACCAAACATTCTGGAAGTTGATGCTTCCGGAAGGTGGCCAATCTTTAGGCAGCTTTGCCACGCTGTTAGTCCACTCTGGATCTCGATCGACGTTCTAAATGAATGAAGGTGATGCTGAACAAGCTACGGTAGGATGAAAAGAAATCACGTTGATATAATGGTTAATCCGTTCGACCGATATCATTTTTGTCTCCAACTCTGCGTGCATTCGAACGGCGAACTGAAAAATACCGCTCATCTAAAAAACAAACGTAACAAAACTAACAAATGCTTAGAATCAAAGCAAAAACGCTGCCAGTACTTGAATGGCAAACGTGAGTGCTAATCCGGCGTAAGCTGGCTCGATTCGGCCAGTAAAGATGATCATGAACAATGAAACAATCACTGAGACAGCGACCACCAGCAGATCGAGCCAGACGGCGAGCCATCGCATGGCTGACTGGAACATGAACATCCAACCGTTGTTTTCATCGAGTAAGACTTTTAGTCTAAATTTGCATGAAGACAGCTTTAGCTTAATAGTGATGGCACAGGAGATCAAATTCATTTCACTTGTCAGTGTGGCGACTGGAGGCATCGAACGAATGTATGGTTGTCTTTCCGGCGATTGCACTGTCGATAAAGGAGAAGAGCGGCGAGCGAGAGTTGTTCTCAGATCGTTTCAAGCTAAAATACGAAGTACTGCGTATAACGCTAGCTTTGCCACGCCACTGACTTTCGCATCCCCGAACGGAAACAAGCTACCAGTAAACCGAAAACGACGAGCAACGGCAAGGATGCTACCAGAAACCATGGAAATACCCAAGAAATAACGATGAAATAGGCGATAATAGTCAGGCAGTTTTGGAAAAAGGCCTCAAAGTTGAACGGAATTTTGGTGTCGACTAAAACAGCCTGAGCTTGACAAAGTTCATCACTCAGTCGTTTAATTAAACACTCACCTTCATCCATATCCTTAGAAAACCGGTTGATTATCCGACCTACTGGCGTGCTATCCAGCCACTTCATGCTACTGTGCATGACCGAGGAAGCCATTTGATTGTGGAGCCACGTAGATGCGTTTAGCGTGACCTAAGCCATAAGATGACGTAACATTCACACCAACTGAAGCAAATCACTAATGACAAGGATCTCGCGGGAGACCAACGGTTACTTTCTAAGCTATGCTCGATATGCGCATTCGTCCAATGACGATGCCCCACGGCAGAGCGATGGGCAACATCAACTATTTAAAGTTTACAGAGAACAAATGTAAAGGTTGAATCCTGTTGCGTGCTCCATGCTGTACCTTGATAAAAATGTACGCCTTTATGAGTGTTGTGGAGATGATGAACAACACTGAGCTGCCATATACGCCTGCGAAATAGCTAGCTTCTTCGGCCGTAAATACAGATCTGTTTGAAGAATCGTTACCGGTGCTGTCAGAGAACTGCAGTGTCTGCAAAAAGAGTTGTAGACCACTGAAAAGGAAGTCGGCCAGGAAGTAAATGATTACTATATAATCCGGGTGACTTTTGCGTAACCAGAAGGATAGCCACACGGTGGAAAATGTGGTGGAAGCAACGTACGCTACAAAAGTTAACAACACAAGCGCAACGTAAAACGAGCCGCCCATCGCAACAAAGTAGGATTTGTAGACAGTACATGACAAGCCTGCAAGCATCAGGTCCTCCTCAGACTCGATCAGGTGTCCTGAACTTTCACTTTATATACCAAAGATAAGTGCAACATTCATATACCGTCCTGAGTTGGAATCAACTTATCCGAGCATGTTTTTTCGTTCACTTCGACTATGCCGTCTTCCAACATCTCCACCTGTTCTGGTTGATCCACTACCGGTAAAAGTTCATCGAACGTGTCATTCTCAACGCTATCTAAAAGACGAAACAAATCCATACTTTCTAAAAAAAAGTAGTAGAATCTCCTTGCCGCATAGTGGGAAGGCTAATCGGTCAACAAGTGGTACATTATTATAAGTTCGGCCTGTTTTATTGTTTAACATGAGGTTGATACGATTTTGAATATTTATAGACATGACTTCTGAAATTTGTAGACATGATTTCTGAAATCTCGCCTAAGTAGCAGAGAATGGATAATGATAGAAAACAGTAGATATCTCGTCAGAAATAACTAAAGCAGGGCGCCTTCTATGATAAAAATAAACCCCGGCATTACGGGTCTCCTAGAAAATTGCTAGTTTTCAATACCTCAAGCGAGAAAAATAATCTTCTATAACTTTTCCAGAATTACTTGACGTAGTTGCTTTGTCCCCATGTTCCTAGTACTCTAGAAAACCGTTCCAGCATGCCATATGATATATAGCATATGCTACATATATATACATATGCTACATGCTATATGGCATATGGTTATATGGCATTTTAGCATAAGCCGTGCAAGCGCAGCAAACAGCAAAACTTTGTTAGGTACAACAAAAACCTATTCGATCTCTAACAGCTATACCTTGATACGGAGGCATATATAATTAAAATGTTTCGCCCTCATGAATTGCAGGTGCTACCATACAGCGGTAGCTTCTTTAAACACTCCCGTAGGCTACTTGAAGCATGGGGACAATGTGACTATCCAATGTGAATCTGAATAAGTGGTCGAACGCATTCTATTTAGACACTACGGTAGCGAAAGAAGCCCATAGAAATCCAAAAGATGAAACCTTAAACAACAGTGCACTTCCATTCCTTTCTATCGAACGGCCGGACATCGTAAATCACAAACAGTCTACAGTTTTTGCATAGGGGTAAAGAATGATGCTAATAAATCATTTACTAATCATCCAAAACTATGCTTCTATTTTACGCTAATAGAAGATACGACGAAGTGGAAAACGTGAAATGTAGATCTTTCATACATAGGTATGATAAGCTTAAGGTACTTCCCTTCATGGACTTTGCAATGCTGCGTTCGTTTCCGCTTCGAAGCCATCAGTCAGAATGGCCCTATTTCATGAAGACAATATCAACAGCTACTAGAAAACAGCGAATATTCTTTTGTTTCCCTTCGTCAAGTAAAATTAACTTATCTACGCTAAAAGATGGGTGAATGATCGATGTTCGGTTTAGCCAGCCATGTGCGTCGATCATCACAAGGACAAAGTAATTCAAGTCAGTTTGGCTGTTGGGAGCTGGCAGATACAGTAGACACCTAGTCCTCACTGCGCGACTTTATGCTGTACGCATACGGAGGTTATCGCTTTGTTTGAATATGTCTTCAGCGACAACAAGCCTTTGTGAAATATACATGCCTTATCCTTCTTTTCTTTTTGGTTTTAAGGTGCTAAAACCCAGTTTATCAAATCGCCAACCTTCTGCGTTCTGAAAATTTGACCGTTCTGCTCTGATTAAGCACGTGCTGAAAAAGCGGAAGATTAAGGAATATGCACAACCGACTGACATGCCCGCGGCTAAGAATGAATTTAAGGCCAACTAACCGCCTCTATGATAGATCAAGCTCGTTACGTCATCAAAGTATCTGTAAATCTAAAATGTTCAATCGTTCCATGTCATCCACCAACAAACAAAAAAGGTAATAATTTCGAGGATAGGTAAAGCAAATTTCGCACGGTTGCAACTAGACCAGAACCTATTTACAGTCGGGTCGGTAGAGGAATAACGTGTGGCAATTAAAATAAACTGCCAAATTACTGTTAGCAATTGGAGTCACAGAGAAGGCTTAAAGCAACAGTCTGGAACAATTTTATTCAAGACATAATGTTGCTTCAAAATAAAAGTATTCGTCACGAATGCCCAAATTTTAAGAAAATAGGATTATGGATAGATCACCAATCAGACCGCTTTACAAATATGCTTCTGAGTGATGACATTAAGGTAGACATTCACAACGTCAGAATGAAGCTTCATTTAGTACATATTCCGCGGGCTGCCACTAAGTGTTTACTCTTTGATGGAAATATCACAAATAAAAACGTTATCATTACTTGGGCACTGCATGTTCATACGAGAGTTGGCACAGAACAGCGCGTACTCGTCACATCGATCGAGTAGTTCCTTGTGAGTCCCTTGATCGTAGATCGCACCGTCTTTCAGGAAGATCACTTTAGCGCACATTGAAAGAAACTAAAAGCTGCGTTAGAGCTGGTAATCTGTTACCGTTATGCAAAAAAAGCAAGCACCCTCTCGTCACTGACAACCAGAATGACCATCTTATCTGCTAACGCCTTGAGAACTGCGTGATGAAACACGTGCTGCGCCACCTCCTGGTCGACTGCACTGAAAATGTCGTCTAAAAGGTAAATATCCCTGCGCGCGTACAACGCCCTCGCCAGCGCAACGCGAGCCTTCTGACCGCCACTCAGCGTCGCGCCTCTTTC